CCAAAACCTTGCCATGCAAACCCAATACAGAAATATTAATATACATTAATGTCATTAATATTCAATATTGATGCACATTAATCTTAAGATAACATTAATATTGATGTACAGGAATATCAACACACATTAATATTATGAATATGCACTCATATCACTATACATTAATATAAATATTTAAAATATTAGCATAACTATCAGCATCCAGATGCTTCCATAGCACCCTGTATGCTTGAATAGCAGTGGAATCCGTCGTGTGTAATGTCTGGCTGTGGTCAAGATGAAAACTGATGCCAACGGTATCCTCAAAACTCACGAACGGATCTTAATTTTGTTATCCGATTACTGATTTACAGAACTCTGTCCATATTGACTGCAAAACTTCCTCCTTGAATGGTTTCTGTAACAATTAGTTGTAGAACTAATGTAGAACTAAGTTTGTTACTGCTTTGAGAAATCACTTCTGAGCTTCTTGCCTAAAGCTTATTAACATAGAACAGCATGCACAGTGACTAAAATATGGAACGCTGTGGTTTTGTTTTCTGAAAAGATTTGCAGTAGGCAGATGCAATTTTTTTTTTTGTGTAATGGAAGGAAAATTTATCCATTACATTGTCTGTTTACTACAAAGTAGTGGCAGCAACTTTTGTCCTATTATTTGTGGGTTTTTTCTCCTCCCGCCTCCCATTCTTTTTTTTCCCTTTAGTGCTTGACATATTTTGACAGATGCTTATTACTGTTCAACTTGTGAAGCTATTTTGCACTGTGTAGTTACTGGGTAGGCTCTTTAGTTTTGTTTCAAGGTAAGGCTGCACATATAAGAAACTACTGTTATATACTTGCTGGGTTTTTTTTAAACTCTTCTCTGAGTATCCTTGGCAGACACTAAGCTATACAGATGGTATGGCAATTCTTTTAGGGAAATACTTCCCAGTATGAGAACATGTTGACATTTCCTGAAGTGGTGTGTCTTTGTTACCTAAAGCAATGTAATAATTATTTTACTTTTGCTATACTGTACAGTTACATTTTCAACTGGAAATATTGCATATAAAATGAATGAGGAAAATTCACCAACAGTCCTATACCATAAGCCTAAAAACTGTCATAAGTGAAACATATCTAACAGTCTAGGATCTAGTAAATACTGCAAATAGTCTTTGGGAGGAAAAAAAAAAATCCCTCACTGTATTTAGTAAAAGTGTTCTAAATAATTCAAAAGCACTTTTTTGATTGTAGGGTGAGGATGATTGAATAGTCTCTGTGGAAAATTTCCTTTGAAGTTTTTTTTTTTTTTTCCTTCAGTAGTAACTGAGCTATAAGGAAAAAAGTAAAAATCAAGTTGTTAGTTGTGGAACTACTAATTTTGAAACATGCAGTGAAGTAATGCGGAAAAGCTGTTTGTCAGTGTTTACAATACTTGAAATATTAGGTGGAAGGGAGTTGGTGCATCCAAGCAAAAATTTAATAAAGCTAAATGTTCTGAATTTGACATTGATTCCTCCTCAGTTCATACAGATGTGTTAGGATCAAATTATTTCAAAATGATCAGGGAAAAGTGACTAAATATTTAACAAAACTCGAGTTGCTTTATCTGTTCCCATCTTGGAAGCCCGTGGTATGAATAGGTGATGTTAGTACTCTGAAAGCCTGTTCCAAGCATTCACGTGCATCATGTACCCAGATTATACGTCCTTTGGATCTTAATATTGACACAGATTTAAGTGTTAGTCCTGCCTCAGATAACATCCTTGCCACGTGCACCAGGTGAAAATGCTGAGCATGGGTGGGTAATTTTTCTTTTTTAATGTGTAGATGGGTTGATTAGATCGCTCATGAACACTGTGTTTAAGTAGCCTATCTTGTCTTTCTTCCGATGAGATGTTTGACAGCTATCTGTTGGTCCGGGTGTCTTTTTAGAGAAATTACTCTAATTAAAACAGAGTAATATATGGCTAGATCCCAATATGCTTCCCAAAGCGGTTGCTTTTGCATTAATCATAGAATCATAGAATCATACATGATTTTTCTATATGAAGAGGAAAAGGATGGAGAGTGATGACATTAGAAAGAACTGAGCTAAGAAATGGATGAACTCCATCTTTCCTGCTCTGACTGTTCCAAACACTGTGTTGAAGTAACTCTTTAAGCATCCTAATTTGCAAATGAAACGGGAGTAGTATGTCTTATCTGTAAATTTGGTGGTGATTCACGTAATTGATTCTTTGTTTTGTTGTGGCTCCATAGTAAAAATCATGTCTGGATAGGTAGTTAAACAGTGCATGCACATTTTAAGGGTCATATTTTGACAGTTTTGCTTCTGTTAACTGGTTTTCTCCTGTCTCTGTTCTAGGTTCAGTGGCACTGTAGATCACGGATGGTTGCAGGAGCTAACTTCTACATTGTAGGGCGAGATCCAGCAGGGATGCCACACCCTGACACTGGGAAAGATCTGTACGAACCAACCCATGGTGCCAAAGTGCTGACAATGGCTCCAGGCCTCCGAGCACTGGAAATTGTACCCTTCAGAGTTGCAGCTTATAACAAGAAAAAGAAGTGCATGGATTATTATGACTCTAATCAGTAAGTTATATTTCTTGTTTTAAGATTTTTTTGAGCAATAGCTGCCTTTTACCCCCCACCCACATAAAAAAATTACTTTTAATTACATTCATATTGCTCAAAGATGTCAGTGTTTAGATGTGGTTTTAGCTTATGAATGCAACTTGACTTCAGCATGATTTGGGTGCAGTTTCACAGCACAACTAACCTGATCCAACTTTAGCTGCCACTGGAAGCTCCCTTTTTCCTCCCAGGTACTGGGATTTCTCAATTCCTGGAACATGTTGTCACAGATTGCTAAATCCATATAAAAATATTACTATTTATTATAATGGTAAGATTAGCTTTGTGCTGGTTTATCGTTTTAAATATGCCTCTCAGATGTCAGGTATGCATCAGATATGATGGAAGACAAATAATGAGAGGATAGTGGACAAGAGGAGGTGACAAATAACTATTTACCCTGTTCAAAAAAAAATGGACTTAGGGCATCATTTTGCGTTATATGTCTCGGCTTTCAGCTGTTTGTTTTTGGTTTTGTGAGGTGATTTGTTTTTTGTTGTGGTGGGTTGGGGTTTTTTGTGCTTTTTTTTTTTTTTAATCCACTTACAGGACAGGCAATTTCACCTTCTGCATATTTCAATATTGTTTCTCACTCATGTGGCATAGCAGAGTACAAAACTCACCATATGTGTTGCTGTGGTGCCAATGAGTGGGACTGGGAAGGTGACTTGACATTTTAGTTTAAACCTCTTTATTTTGATTATTGAGCTGTGCTGTTGTTTTCCATCAAACTGCAGTTGAAGTTAGTACTGAAATACAAACTATCGAGCAAGATGTGTTTCTAACACACTCTTGTATTTCTTATTTCAACTTTTTCCTGCTGCTTCTAACTGAAGAAGTATGTCTGCACAAAACAGTTCATCTCTGAAAACATGAACTCAGCATGGGATGGATTGATCTGTAAAAATGAACCCATCTCTTATCGCTTGTTCTTCAACTTCTTATGCTGCAGTTACACTGAGTATAAAATTCTCCAAGGATGTCATAGAATCATGGAATGGCATAGGCTGGAAGGGACCTTAGAGATGTCACTGTGGCTTGTGACGATTAACCAACAAGTTTTATTCCGCAGTTTGTGTCTGTCTTACCATGAATTGTGTTTATTAGTAAATAGTTGTGCTTACAACCTTGATTGTAAGTTGTGTAACTGCTTTATATTTCAGCAGTAAGTTCCAGACACCTGAATTTGTCTGCTTTTATTTTTAAAAGCCACAAAGTGCTATTGTCTCTTGCATAACTAAGTATAACTTTATGGTATGTTCTTCTGTTGTTTGGAAGTAATAAGCAGCATGATAAAGGCAAATCTGTTGAAATCTGACAAGAATTAAAATAGTTTCACTGTGTATTACTCTACGACATCCATATGTGTTTGAAAATTTGATGATTTGCTACATTGCAGATGTTTTAAAATTGAAGGTAATCAGGGAGGCTTATTTAGCAGTTGTAGTTTGCTGATGATGTTCTTCCTTCCTCCTCCCTCCCATATACGCAGTGCTCCAGCATAAGGTTCTCCTTAGTGCTCTGAAGCTTTTCTTTGGATGGCATTGCAGCAGGTTTTTTCGTTCTCAGATGAAGCTATGGACAGTAGCATCAGATCAGACCTATGCCCTGACACATACGATATTTTCATTAGCAGGAACAAAATCAGAGGGGAGTATACTCCTAGCATATATGACATGAAAGTCTTTTCCTGAAATCAATGCCTTTTAGCTAGCTGCGGAACACTTCACTACCTTCGTGCCTTTTGTTATTTGACATGCATCAAGAAATCCTTGCTGATGTGCACAGTAACTGGATTGTGACGTAAATATTGCTAATTTTATGCAAACCTGTATACACTATAATGTAAGGTTCAACAGGCTGTTGTAGTAGATACTATGGGTATTTGTCCTGTTTGTTGTCCAAGTAATTCAGCAAGGTTTAGAAGATAAATACACAAAAATTAAAGTGAAAGAGTTATGCTGGTGTGTCCTTTCTTAATAAGCTGGAATAGAAGGGGAGTAGCAATGTGAGAGGCTAGAATTCCCATTGCATGGAATTGAAAAATCTTTATAGAATAATATTGATTCTGTGATCATTGATACTGTACTTTTAGCAGGATAGATTTGATTTAGATCAGGGGGAGTAAAATTGTACCTGTGTCATTAGCCAGAGAAATGATTAAAATAAAAATATCTCTGTGGTAACAGGTTTGCCTTTTGCCACAGACTGCATAATGCACATCCGATTATCCTTTCATCGTGCCTGGGGGGGACCCTTTGGTTTAAGGCTTTTTTTCTTGTTCCTGCCAGCGGCTTGGAAAAAAAGACCGCGCTGCTGTTGGTGTGCAGTTTTGCCCTGCTGCCATCAGAACGTGAGACCGCTTGTCCTGTCCTTCCCTAGGCGCTGCTCGTATACTGGGCAGACTGGAGTGCGGCTGCAGTCCTCTAGATGGCAATGCGGACCCGTGCAGACTCCCTGAAGCCAGAGGCGTTATCGCTCCTGCTTGCCACAGACAGGACGACTGTGGTAGGCTCCAGACAGAGTTAGAGCTTGGGTGGGTGCAGCTGGCTGCGTTTCAGCTCAGTCTGTGTCATGCTGAAAATGTGGCAGACTCCTGGACCGTGTGGTGTTCGAGTCTGTAAGGAAGATGGCAGGGAACAGAGGGTTGTCTGGAAATAGGAGAGGATCAGTACTGGTGGAAGACCCTTGGGTGTGAAACAGTTATGTTCGTGGAAATCTTCCTTCGCTCACCGCTTACCTGGTGAAAAACACAACATGAAAATATGGGGAAGAGGGTTGTTCGCATAGAAGCATTGCTCTGATGGTTTTGGAATTGAGTAACTTGACTTCTGTTGCACCTTTCCTAGTTCTTTGAGGCTTGGAGACTTGACAGCCGATTAGGCAGTTGAAGAATTTACATCACTAATGGATGCACAGAAGGTTATGGCAAGTGAGCTTCCCTTAGACTGAGCTATAGCTGAGCTGTGTCTTAGCTGCTGGAAATAGTTATTCTCTCCACGAGTGGTCATCTTGTCTATTCTTTCAGGCCTCCTAGACTCCTCTATCTGGGAAAGTGCTTGTACGAAACCATAACGGACACCATCTGCTACCTTGGGTGTCTCTCTAATTTGGCAGAGTTGGACTCACACCTGGCTTGGCAGAAAAGACGTGCAAGAGGTTATTGCAGTTGGCTTCTTTGCTGCTGTTATTGACTCATGTGTCTGCTTCTGAAGGCAATTCCAAGCCATGGGGGCAATGGGGGATGAATCTTTGGCTAGTGGTGACCAAAAACTTGATCCAGCTGCCAGAAGGATGTCTGACAAATTAGGGCGGCAGCATTAGCAGTGGCAGAGAGTTGCTTTTCTTGTGACATCTCTAAATATTCCTACACAGCTGTTATGAGGAAGATGTAGCACTTGCTGATAGCATCCGATGTATGCCTGTGCCGATAGGTTTTCAGATGATGGGTTGGTACTGGTCAGCTACGTATCATAAGATACTGGACAACTATGTGATACCTAGCTGCTGCTAAACTGCTCGTGACCTGGTGGCAAGCCTGGGAAGTACCAAAAAGCCTACCATGGCCATGCCTCCACATTAGTAACAAAGACCCTTAGTTCTCAGTTGTGCTGCCTGTGATTCTAAGAGGTCATTGTTCTTAAGGGCTTCGACTCTGAAAGGTGTCCACGCAAGCGCAGTTTTGTGGAGTTAATATACAAGTTAAGTTTGTTTCTCACTTCCATTAGTATCCTCCAGAACGCATGCTGCCCTTGGAGTTTCAGTAGACCCAATATCTCTGCTTGGGAACAGTCTGGAGAACATGACTGTTAACTTTGAGTGTCAGGGCTTCGCGCTGCTGGTTAACAGTATTGAGTTGCTGTGGTGCTGTGTTGGAGCTGAAGTCACTTGGCAGCAGGTGTATCTACATGTAATCCTGTTTATAAGGAAAGGCAGAGATATCCTGGTTGCATTCAGGGGTAATCATGGAACATTGTGTGTGAAGATAGGGGGTAAGAAAAGACTGAAATAAAAGCCTTTATACTAGCTGCGCAGCAATTGTAGTTGCAGAGTGGTGCACAAAATTTAACTTGTAAATACTGTTTGACTGAAGTTACCCTTTAAAATATTAAGACCTGTGAACAACCAATAACTTGAAATTGTATTTGTGTTTTACGTTATGAAGCCACCACAATTTCTAATTTGTTTCTGGGACGTCTTAGAACTAGGTTTAGCACCTCATGGAACTGCAGTCTTCAAACATATTTTTGAAAAGATGTATCTAAAACTAAGATTTAAGAAGGGGATTTGAGGAATGCATTTGAAGCGACGTATAGCAGCACAGATAGAGCTAACTTCGTTTTATTTTCCCTTTGGTCAAAATGAGGATAATTTAAAAAAAAAAATAAAATCCCTTTTAATTGTTGCTGAAGTCAGATAGCAAGCCTCATCTAAGTTTCTGTAGGAAACTTGAGCATTTCCACTTGCATAGAATACTCAAGAAATAATACATATAGAAACTAGTATGAATATTGGTACAGTCTGTCGCTTATCATTTTTTACCCTTTTGGATTTCATAGAATTTTGGATCCATAACTGAGTGCGTCCAAACATGTTTTGGAAAAGTTTATAGGAAGAATTCTGGTTATAACAGAGAAATTCCAAATGAATATCTGATCTGTGAACCACTATTAGACTGAAGTGTAAAGAAAAACCAACCAAAGAATCAAGCAACCAACAAAAAACACCATCACCCTCCAAAAAATCTCTACCCAGTGCTGAAATCTCTTCAGAAAAACAGTTAGTGTGTCTCTTCAGCTAAAAAGGCCTCTTAAGCAGTTACCACAGACAAGTGTAATTTGGGATTGGTGGCTTAATAATAGTAGTTGTTTGGGTGAGCAGAGATTCCCAATTCTTTACAGAAGATCAGTCCTATAAAATTCAGCCACAAACTGCTGCTGAGGAAAAACTCAATTAAGAAAGGAAATTAGTCTGGCAATTAAAAAAGCCACAGCAGTGTCTGGAAAAATGGATTTTATTTTATTTTTTTTTCCTCCAGTCCTGAAAGAAAACTGATGAGATCATTTTGGCTAAAAGAAACCCATAAGTAAGGATACTGGACCAGACTGTTCATGCTTTCTGTAAAATATGAATGAAGCATGGGTATCTGTGAAGAGGAGAGATTTTAACTTTATGTAGTTTATTCCCAGGACTTTTACAACTACTTTAATACTATCAAGTCATACTTACAGGACAGTTGTTCCAACTGAGTACACACTGTTCCCAAATTTGTTTGGTGTGATACCTGATTTTTTTAAAGTGACAGTGACTGAGATAAGCACATTGACTGTCCGTCTTAATTTAGCTGTGTGAAATACGTTTTCTCAATTAACATTAGTACATAGTTTAGGATACATGAAAACACTACAGCAGCTCAGAAGGCTTAAACCTTCCTGCCAGTCAGAAAGGAAATTTATTCACAGCTGGTAAAGGATTTGCTTTGCATATGTTGGCACTAATCACATTATTATGTTCTACTTTCACAGAGAGTTTGTTCATGGCCAGTTAGGTTTTGAACCTAGTTGATAGTAGCTAGTTCATTCAGCATCATGGGGTGTTTCCAAGGCGTAACAAAGACTTGACAGGATAAGGGACAATGTTCTGTTCCTCTTGGAGTTACGATGACTTGATGCTGCAAAGGCGAATTTACGTTGAGTGAAAATCCTTCTGAAAAGGATTGTAAGATCAGATTTCATCTCATGACAGATGCTGTTCAGGAAGCATGAATTTGGGGAAGGAGAATTGTTAAAGGACGGAACCCCAGATAAAGAGGCTGTGAATTGTCCTAGGAATTAATTGGATCTAAAGTTTACCAGCTGAATAGAACATGGCAGTTGTTTTGAAGCCAGACCAGGGTGAATAAGTCATTTTATTGTTTTATTTTCTTACGTTTGTTTCCAAAACCATATTTTTATGAATGGATAAACTATGAACAAATGGTCTACTTTGATCATGAGTCTTGTATTTAAGAGTAATTTCTTAAGGGTCGGAGAGCACCAGACGTTGCCCTCCACAGAAAATGGGAATTCCAAGAAGGTCATTTGCACAGTGCCAGATACCCTAACAGAAGGTCTGGATTTGAAGATTATGACTGATCTTTAGTGCTCTCAGGTGAAAAATCAATTATGTAATATGTTTTATACTTAGATTAAACCTGTAGGGAATAATCGTTGAAGTGGAAAAAATGTTCTCCTCAGTCACTGTATTAATGTACTGACACCTCAGAGATACAGCAGAGGTTTCCTGTAGGACTGCGGGCATCTTCGTGCAGTCATTTCCCACTTGCAAATTGGTGATAACTTTGTTGTTTTGTCACAAGAACTGTAAGGTCGCACACTGCTCTGAGAGTGTTTGAGCTTGCAACAAAGCATAAAGAGCTGTCACTGTTGCTGTGGTCACCTGTGATGTTTTAGTAAAATATAACTACTGAATGCGTAAAAAAAAAAAGGGAAATCCATTTAACAGATAAAAACATTAGTCTTTGCAAATGAAAGAAAAGAAAGAACTGGTATATGAATTCTTAATCTTCTGTACATGGTTTGTAGTGTCCTTTGAGTCTGATGCTCAGTTACTGTGAATAGTTTGACAATTAACAGCGCAAATTTTTTCTATGTTATTCTGAATTAAACCACTTACTGCTTGAGTGTGGAAGGAGAGCACAATCTGAAGTGTAAGAGAAGATTCTTTTTCTCCCATTGCTAGATGTATGAGAGCACAGCTAAGTTATGCATCTTCTGTCTGCCTAGCCCTGTCCTCCAGGCACCAAATATTACGTCAATACTAGTCAAACTCAATGGGTACCAAAAGGTCAAATCAATGTTACAAGCATTTACTAACATACGATGTGGCTCAAAGAAAGCTAATTCCAGCAGTCACTGAATAAAAATTTCAAAAGTATTTAAATCCCATGCTCAGAAAAGGCTTGGGTTAAGTTTTATTGAGAGCCATTCCAAATCTCACTTGAGAATGGAATTTGGATGGCTCTGACGTTTACATTTCATAGCGTTAATGGTCAAATGTTTCCTCCTCTCATGTTCCTCTGAAATCCATTTGATGTAGAGTAACTCCTCAAAATTCACTGTGAACAAAAGTACTTGACTCTTCTTTCTTGTTTCTTTTTCTACAAAAGCAAATTACTCCTACTGATACATTTTATTTAAAAATGCTTGTGGTTCACATCACACCACAGTGCCAGTACTGATAAGATATTTCTGCTTAATGGAAATCTTAAGTTTCTGATATTCAAGAGATTTGATTTTTACCGTTAGTAAAGACAGTGAGTACTGAGTAGTTAATCAAATAAATAATCTGTTTTGGGTATGAAAATGGAGGTTAAACTAGAAACAATAAAATTGCAAATGCAGTAATTTTAAAAAGGCAAAAATTACTGTGCTGTTTCAACATACAGTATACATTACCAAAGCTCCATTTGAATCACTTTAGTGATTACTAATTAAGGCTTTTTTTTTTTTTTTAAAGAAAGACCCATTCAAAACAGAGATTTGGGATAATGAGATGGCATCATTAGTACTTTTGTACTTTTTAAATAGTATTTTTGAAATATTTCTAGAAACATTATGAGATGCTGAATGTAGTATGTTTCTTAAATGGTCCTCGGTCTTGCTTTTCTTTCCTGTCCTTTTCTTATAGTTTCTATAAGCTCCTTATCTCCTTAGCTTTTTTTTTGTTTCTGTCTTTCTTGATATCTCCAATTCCTAGAGCTACTTTTTATGCAACTAGAGATAACGGGAAGCTAAAGGAATTGAGGTCTTACTGAAGCAAGCTTATATGGCATGTCTTAATTTATTGTCTTAGTACCTTTATTTCACTTGTAGGGCATGGGAGGAAGTTGAGTGTTTTTCTGAAAACTTAACAGACAAGGAAGGGATAAAGCAGCTAACATTTTTTTTTTAATACTTGAACTTTGGTATTACTAGTATACTGTGGAGAAAACCACACATAGAGAAACTTTATAGCACTTGCTTTACTCTTCTCTTCCTGAGCATCTGAAGACTTTAGTACTTTTTTGCTAGAATTAACCAGGCGTATCAGTTCCTCGCAAATGTTTTATACAAATAGTTTTTTGCAAAGAACACAAGTTACCTTCAAGCATTAGTGGACAGTAGGCATCTCTCTGCCAAGGAGCAAAATTTTCAGCTGTTATAAATAGCAGTGATGTAACTTTTCCACCATAAGCTTACAACAACTTCAAGTTTTCATTTTTATGTAACTTATATCTTGCAGAATTGAAGCACAGTAGGGTTTTCTGCCTTGTGACACTTCAGGAACCCACGGTCTCAAATTGAGAGCAATAAGAAAAGAGGATGTATGACAGTGCTGCTGTGTAAATGTATTCAATCCAAATAAAAAAGTTATGGGGCTAGTGGTTTTGTGAAAGGGAACTGTGGAATGTTTTCTGTCTCTTGCGAACTTCCATACCCTACTGAGCATAGCTCAGCACGTAGAGCCAAGCTATGCCTTCTGATGCACACACTTGGCTCTTGTTTCTGTCTAAAGGCATGTGTCTCTGAGATCAATACTTGGCTTTTATTTCAAATAGGCAAGTAAAGAATAAGTAATGCATACATGTTGCAAACTGAGCAAATGGCGTAAGAAAAAATACATATTTAATTTAAGAATAAATCATTTTTGCTTTGGAGCATTTGGTAGAACTCTGGTGCTCGTCTTGCTCTACTGTTTCAGTCCTGTGAGGAGTAAGAGTATAATTTGTGGAGCTTTTGCTGCTTATGACCACATACTCGAGAAGTTAACATTAATTTAGATTGTCATGTTAACAATGATAAAAAATCCTGATCTGGGCTCATTTGTGCATTTGCCAACCAAATTTTTTTTTTTAGGGAAAAATATCTTTAAGGGAATATATTTTTATTATTCCTTTGCTTTTTTCTTTTTTTTTGAACTGTATGTGCCACATCGCTGATATCACAGAATGTTTTGGATTGGAAGGGACCTTAAAGATCATCTAGTTCCAACATCCTTGCTGTGGGCAGGGACAACTTCCACTAGATTGGGTTGCCCAAAGCCTCATCCAACCTGGCCTTGAACAATCCGAGGGATGGGGCATCCGCAGCTTCTCTGGTCAACCTCTTCCAGTATTTTACCACCCTAATTGTAAAAAATTTCTTCTTTAGATCTAATCTAA